TTGGAGGGCAGGTCATTGATGAACCACCTGAAGATGATTTGGCCTAGGACACCACCCTGAGGAACTCCTGCAGAGATATCCTGGAGCTGAGGTGACTCACCTCCAGCAACCATAACCATCTTCCTTTCTGCCAGGTTTGACTCCAACCAGAGGAGAATTTTCCCCCTGATTTCCATTGACTCCAGTTTTGCTAGGACTCCTTGATGCCATTATGTTAGTCTGTCTGCAGTCTCTGATGCAGGCTGGGGTCACTGTGGGTCATTCTGGATCTAGTGGGTCAGTATGTCTGTAGTCAATACATCAAATTGTCTGAGTTTAGTGGGTTAGCCTGTCTGGGGTTACTGTATCAGTCTGCCTGGAGTCACTGTGACAGTCTGTCTGGTGTTACTGTATTAGTTTGTCTGGGGTCACTGCATTAGTCTAAGGGGGTCACTGAGTCAGTCTGTCTGGGGTCACTGGTTCAGTCAATCTGAGGTCACTGGGTCAGGCTATCTGAGGTCAGTTGGTCTGGCTGCCTGTGATCATTGAGTCAGTTGGCTGTGGTCAATGGATCATTCTCTCTGTGGTCACTGCGTAAGGCTGTTTGGGATCAGTATTTAATTTATCTATGATCACTGGATCAGTCTGGCTGTGATCAGTTGGTCAGTCTGTCTGGGGCCACTCGATCAACCTAGGAGCTGGGTCAGTGGATTGGGATCTGTGAGGTTGGAGAACCTTGGCCTCCCACAGTCTCACAGATCGTTAATTAAACATAGTCCAGAAAAGATCAGAGGTTGTCTCCATTTGAGAGAGACAATTGGGTAGTTAGCTTGAGGGGGACCACACAGAAAACATGGGGGAAGGTGAGGAGGTTAGTGTCATCAACTCTTACAGTCCCATTCTCACTGCACTCACTTCCTATGCTGCTACTTGAGATGCCTTCACCTCACCATTGTACATAAACCTCCTCAAAGTCACAGCGTTCCCTTTCACCCTAATGTTTCCCATTTTTTAGCTTTTTAAAAATTCACTCCAGGGAAGTACACATCGCTGGCTTAGGCCAGCATTTATTGCCTGTCCCTAGTTGCCCTTGAGAAGGTAGGGGTGAGCTGCCATCTTGAACTGCTGCAGTCCACCTGCTGTGGGTTGACTCACAATGCCCTTAAGGAGGGAATTCCAGGATTTTGACACAGCGACAGTGAAGGAACGGCGATATATTTCCAAATCAAATGGTGAGTGGCTTGAAGGGAAACTTTCAAGTAGTGATGTTGTCATATATCTGCTGTCCTTGCTCACTTCCTCACACTGATGTGAGTTTCACTCCTGGGTGTGAGGTATTTGACATATTTTTCTCAATGTGAGGGTGCTGATTCCCAGAGCCAAGAAATACAAATGAGTCTCGGGCTTAATCTCACTCATTCCCTTCTCCTGCAAAATGGGAGTTATGTGGCTCACTCTGAGGTAGTTAAGCAGTAAGACAAGGATCGAGAGGACCTGTTGGGACTCTCGGGGATAATCTGATTGGATCCGCTACTGGCACAATGTGATCAAGCTGCAGAGAGGGAGGGAGGGTAAGTAACTTGTGCAGTTTGGTCAGAGTTGAGTGTGTGTTTGCTGTATCAAGTGGACTGCCACCGCCCTCCCAGGAGAGGGGGGGCGGATTTTTCTTTATTCGTTCATGAAATGTGGGTGTTACTGGCTAAGTTAATACTTACTCCCCATCCCTCACTATCCTTGGGATTCACAGGACATTAAAGGCAGCAGAACCACAGAGTGAGGAGGTCATAAAACAAGCTAAAGAAAATGATATTTTTATATAACAAGAGATACAGCATATAAAACTCAACAGGTTCAGAAATGACAGAAAAGGAAGGAAAGGAGAAGAGGTTGCAGTTTTGGTTAAGGAGAGTATTGTAGTGCTGGAGAGATAGGTTGTCTCAGGTTTCAAACACATAACTAATTTGGTCAGAGTTAAGTGACAAAAAAGAGTGAAATTACATTGCTTGGTGTAGTCAATAGACCAACTTGCCAGAAGGATGTACAGAAGTTATAAAGAGATGCCAACATTACAGAGTAGTCATAATGGGGGACTTTAATGATCCAAATACAGACTGTTTTACTAGGAACGTAAGAGGTAGCAAGGACCAAGTGTTCCCAGATGATGTGCGTAAGAGCTTCCCAAACCACTATATGTCCAGTCCAAAACAAGACGATGCATTTGGCTCTGGTTCTTGAAAATGAGGTTGGCCAAGTGGATCAAGTATCAATGGAAGCACATCTCAGAGACAGTGATCATTGCATCATAAGGTTCATGATGGAGAATGGCATTAGTCAATCCAGAGTAAACACAAAATCAGCAAATGCAGAAGAAACTTAGCAGGTCTGGCAGCATGTGTGGAGAGAGAAACTGAGTTAATATTTTGAGTCCAGCATGACTTCTTCAGAAGTGAAATTAAGTAACAAAGTTATTGCTTTCCCCAATGATAAACAATTTCTCATACATAAGGAGAAAAGGAAGGTATGATAAAGATGACAAGGATCATGAGACCAGTACACTTCACTGACGTTAATATCTGGTACCATGTGTACCCTATTATCAATGCAGAGTTTAGGAAGGTTTTGTTCCCAAAAGATCACAAGAACACTGGGTTGAGTGGAGGTAACAAAATCTAGATGAGGTTTAGGGTGGAGTTAAACTGAGGCATCTTTGAATTGGGCAATGTTACAGAGGATTAATTAGGTGGCTGTTGTCATGCAGCTGGGATACAGTCTGTGCTAAGCTGAGCTCTCTATGAAATACTCAGGTTATTAAACATCTGGTTCTAACTGAGATCATGACTGGGCACAGAAGCAGGGACAAGACACTCACAATACTCTTGCCAAAGCCTAACTGGAGTAAATTGTTGCTCATCCAAGACCAAAGATCCTTCTGAAATGTACGTAATAGAGGTCCGCATGTGAACTATTATACAAACATGCAAACAAGGAAGAAGAGTATTGCACTCAACCTTTCAAACCTGCTCTGCCATTCAATATAGATCTTGGCTGATCAGAAAAAACATGTTTCTGTTTGGGCCGAAAGGTCTGTTTCCATGTTGTATTACCCTATGACTGAGGGGATAAGCAGTGTGAGGAAAGAGAGACATTGGAGCTGTAGAAAGAGGAGTGGTGATGTGGTAGAATTGAATATTGCCAGTAAATGTGTGGACTCTGATCTGATGTTATATGGAGAGAGTGGAGGATTGTTCTCCTTAGAGCAGAGAGGTTGAGGAGAGATGTATTAGAAGATGTTCAAACTCACAAACTGTTTGAATATAGTAAATAAGGAGACATTGCCTCTAACGGCTAAGAGGGTCAGTAATCAGAGGGTAAAAGGCAGTTTCTTTTAAGCAGCAAGCTCAGGTTTAGCCAGTACTACATGAAGGGATTATGGAAATAGGCTCATTTGTTACAATTGTAGTGAAAAATGGACTATCAATATATTTATCAATTTTCATCATTTGACTTTAATACCTGAGACTTTGTTTTAAAAAGGACACTGCTGACCTAAAATGGCTGCACTGGTCACCTAACAAACCTGATAAGCTGTGTGCTAAAAATGATAAACGTTTGTTGCGAGTGATTGAGAGGGGATTCAAAAGAGGGGAGAAAGTCACCCTCCTCACTGGACCCTAACAACTTTCAAAGGAATTTGGATAAATATTTGAAAAGGTAACGTTTACACGTGTTTCTGGGAAAGAGCAGGTGTAGGTTGCGACTACTTGGATAGTTGTTTCAAAAGAGCTGGCACTAATAGGTCAAACAGCCTTCCTCTGTGACATGAGATTCTACAATAAATCAACACTGGCTACATTTGGATAGATATGAGTGGAATTCCCATTGAGCTGGGCACAGTGTAATATTAGGGAGAATGGGGCTAAATGCATACAGTTCAAGGAATGAAAAGTGAGAGAGCATCACAGTCAAGAGGATGTAGTGAGTTTGGGTTGGCACTGGTAAAGGAGTAGAAAGAGACACAAAGTGATAGACACAGGGAAAGAGTGGGAGAGACAGAGCAAGTGAGAGATAGAGAGGGACAGGGACAGAGTTGGAGAAACACAGGTAGAGTGAGTGAGTGCGTGAGTGAGAGAGAGAAAGAGATATAGGGAGCAAGTGAGACAGAGACAAGTGCGTGAGTGAGAAGGGGGGAGAGAGAGAGAGACCGGGGTGGGGAGAGAGAGGCAGGGAGAGAGTGAGAGAGTCAAGGAACAAGTGAGAGAGAGACGCAGGGAGAAACTGGGAGAGGGATAGGGAGAGAGAAACAGATAGAGAGAGAGACAGGGAGAGAGTGAGAGAGACATGGGGAGAGAAAGACACACCGAGTAAGAGAGAGAGACAGAGAGACCAATTTACGTTTGTCTAAGAGGGTAAGTGTTGAAAAAGTTAAAATCTGATCTGGAAGGAGAGTAATAAAGTGAAAAAGAAAAAAATTACTGACCCCATGGCAGTCAGGTCTGACCTCTTATCCTGATCTGTGTGTGTATGTGTTTTTTGGGAAGTGCACTTTCTTGGTTAATGGATAGCAGACAAATCTTAAAACTTAGAGAATTGTCCGCTGCCCACGTCACCCCACCACCACTGCCCTCAGAATATGTGTTCTATTGGTGCCAGATGAGACAGCACAAATGGGAGGGTCTCATTGTGTGGTGGACCCCTTGATCCCTTAATCCGGTCCCAGAAATGGAGGGGAGATCCTGCACACCTCTGAGCTGGATTCTCTTATGGAGATAGAATTAGAGTTGGGGTTGGAAAGGCGATTTTGGTTACTTCATTGAGGTAGGAGATAAGGTGACAACTGAGAGACACACAGAGTTAGAAATCAGACAGGTGTGGCTGTTTGTAAAATTACAGCTTCAGGGCAAAGTTTGTTCATCTGGGCGAGGCTTTTAGTCACTGTCGGCCTGCCCAGACTTCACCTCAATGAAAGCAACAATCAAACACAAATCAGATTCAAGCTATTAAATTAAAGAGGGAGAGAGGGAAAGGCGTTCCAATCAAATCAGTCAGTGCTCACACCTTCACACACACGATAAGTGCAGTGTAAAAGAGAGAAAGGAGTACAATCAGCAGCTCTCACAGACCGACAACCCAGCACGGAGCAACAGGTAGGAACTATTTAATTAAACAATTAGAAAAACTTCATAGACTTTGTAAACTGAAGGCAAAGTGTGGAATGCAGAGAGCGAACTCCACCTATACAGCTCAGAGCCTCGTAAACAGTCCTGATCAGACATTTCTGTGCAGTTTATGTTAACTCTTCCGTGTTTATTTATGAATTATCAACAACTTGGATTTAGTGCATTTAATTTAATCTTTTGGCAGAAAAGTTTACTTTATCTCAATATCTCTTTGAGAAGCTCTTTTTAGCTCTTGAGGTGGTCTAATGGGAACGCAATTGGTGGAGGGTCTATGACTGCTGGAGGAGGGGTAAGGAGATTGTTTTTATCAGTTAGTTATTGTGATCCAGAATGCATTATAATGCATTTGATGATCTTTTTATTTCTTTATGTGTACTGTTAAGATAAGAGGGAAGGTGCATGATATCAAGTGATTAAACGATCCTTGCAGTAATTAGAGAGCAGCGTTGAATTGGGCAGCTATCACTCTCCCAGTAAAGTTACTTTCTGTGGCTAGCTGTAAGAAGACAGAGGGTGGTGGTTGATGGAAAATGTTCATCCTGGAGTTCAGTTACTAGTGGTGTACCTCAAGCATCTGTTTTGGGGCCACTGCTGTTTGTCATTTTTATAAATGACCTGGATGAGGGCGTAGAAGGATGGGTTAGTAAATTTGCGGATGACACCAAAGTCGGTGGAGTTGTGGATAGTGCGGAAGGATGTTGCAGGTTACAGAGGGACATAGATAAGCTGCAGAGCTGGGCTGAGAGGTGGCAAATGGAGTTTAATGCGGAAAAATGTGAGGTGATTCACTTTGGAAGGAGTAACAGGAATACAGAGTACTGGGCTAATGGTAAGATTCTTGGTAGTGTGGATGAGCAGAGAGATCTCGGTGTCCATGTGCATAGATCCCTGAAAGTTGCCACCCAGGTTGATAGGGTTGATAGGAAGGCATACGGTGTGTTAGGTTTTATTGGTAGAGGGATTGAGTTTCGGAGCCATGAGGTCATGTTGCAGCTGTACAAAACTCTTTTGCGGCTGCACTTGGAGTATTGCGTACAGTTCTGGTCACCGCATTATAGGAAGGATGTGGAAGCATTGGAAAGGGTGCAGAGGAGATTTACCAGGATGTTGCCTGGTATGGAGGGAAGGTCTTATGAGGAGAGGCTGTTTTCGTTAGAGAGAAGAAGGTTAAGAGGTGACTTAATAGAGACATACAAGATGATCAGAGGATTAGATAGGGTGGACAGTGGGAGCCTTTTTCCTCGGATGGTGGTGGCTAGCACGAGAGGACATAGCTTTAAATTGAGGGGTGATAGATATAGGACAGATGTCAGAGGTAGGTTCTTTACTCAGAGAGTAGTAAGGGCGTGGAATGCCCTGCCTGTAAAAGTAGTAGACTTGCCAACTTTAAGGGCATTTAAATGGTCATTGGATAAACATATGGATGATAATGGAATAGTTTAGGTTAGGTGGACTTCAGATTGGTTTCACAGGTCAGCACAACATCGAGGGCCGAAGGGCCTGTACTGCACTGTAATGTTCTATGTTCTATGTTCTATGTTTACCAACATACCATGGGAGCTACTGGGATTAATACCCATCAAATCTCCTTCTGCTGGAATCTGCAGGTGTATTAGTTACTGGTGCTTAACCCTAGGCACCAGGAACCTTGAGAGAAACACCCAAAACTGGATTTTCTGATGGTTTGGATCTGTACAAGATTAGCTCAGCCCCGTCAGCTGATTTGCGGCAAATTTTCCTCATCCAGTTTCCACCCTTTTGGCCCTTAAGGTGCTGACTTGCTGACAAGCAGTCCCTTGAACTGCGACACGGTTCAGTCGGGAGGAAATGCCCCTCTGAGGCTAAAGGTTGTGTTTTTAGGAATCACTCCAGGGCAGCAGTACAATACCCAGGACACCCAGTGCAGTACTGAGGGAGTCTAGAAGTGTCCAGGGTCAGTACTGAGGGACTGCTGCACTGTCAAGGGTCAGTACTGAGGAAGTCTATCACTTCTGAAGGCCAATACTGAGGGAGTGCCTCACTGTTTGGGTTCGTAAGACCATAAAACGTAGGAGCAGAAATTAGGCCGTTCAGCCCATCGAGTTTGCTCTACCATTCAATCATGGCTGATAAGTTTCTCAACCCCATTCTCCTGCTTTCTCCCTGTAACCCTTGATCCCCTTGACAATCAAGAACCTATCTATCTCTGTCTTAAATATACTCAATGACCTGGCCTCCACAGCCTTCTGTGGCAGTGAATTCCATAGATTCACTACTCTCTGGGTGAAGAAGTTCCTCCTTATCTCCGTTCTAAAAGGTCTTCCCTTTACTCTAAGGCTGTGCCCTCAGGTCCTAGTCTCTCCTACCAATTGAAACATCTCTCTAACATCCACTCTTCTAGGCCATTCAGTATTCTGTAAGTTTCCATTAGATCCCCTCTCATCCTTCTAAACTCCATCAAGTATAGACCCAGAGTCCTCAAATGTTCCTCACATGTTAAGCTTTCCATTCCTGGGACCATTCTCGTGAACCTCCTCTGAACCTGCTCCAGGGCCAGTACATCTTTCCTGTGATATGGGGCCAAAAACTGCATACAATACTCCAAATGTGGCCTGACCAGAGCCTTATAGATCCTCAGAAGTACATTCCTGCTTTTGTATTCAAATCATCTCAAAACAAATGCCAAAGTTGCATTTGCCTTCCTGACTACTGACTCAACCTACAAGTTTACCTTGAAAGAATCCTGGACTAGAACTCCCAAGTCTCTTTGCACTTCAGACTTCTGAATTTTCTCCCCATTTAGAAAATAGTCCATTCTTTTATTCTTCTTACCAAAGTGCATGACCTCACACTTTCCCACGTTGTACTCCATCTGTCACTTCTTTGCCCACTCTCCTAACCTGTCCAATTCCTTCTGCATCCTCCCCACATTCTCAATACTACCTGTCCCTCTACCTATCTTTGTATCGTCTGCAAACTTAGCCAGAATGCCCTCGATTCCTTCATCTGGATCATTAATATATAAAGTGAAAATTTGTGGTCCCAACGCTGACCCTTGTAGAACACCACTTGTCATCGGCTGCCATCCTGAGAAAGATCCTTTTATCCCCACTCTCTGCTTTCTGCCAGACAGCCAATCTTCTATCCATGCTAGCACCTTGCCTCTAACACCATGGGCCCTTATCTTACTCAGCAGCCTCCTGTGTGGCACCTTGTCAAAGGCCTTCCTGAAGTCCAGGTAGATAACATCCATTGGCTCTCCTTGGTCTAACCTGCTCGTTACTTCCTCAAATAATTCTATTGTCAGGCATGACCTCCCCTTGATGAAACCATGCTGACTTTGCCCTATTTTACCATGCACTTCCAAGTATTCAGAAATCTCATCCTTCACAATGGACTCTAAAATCTTATCCACGACTCAGGTTAGGCGAATCGGCCTGTAATTTTCATCTTTTACCTTACACCCTTTTTAAACAGGGGTATCATGTTAGTGATTTTCCAGTCCTCTGGGACCCTCCCTGACACTGGTGATTCCTGAAAGATCACCAGTAACGCCTCCACTATCTCTTCAGCTACCTCCTTAAGAACACTGGAGTGTAGTCCATCTGGACCTGGTGATTTATCCACCTTCAGGCCATTCAGTTTTTCTAACACCCTCGCCTCGGTGATGGACACCATACTCAGCTGTGACCCCTGAGTCTCTCGAATTTTTGGGATATTACTTGTGTCTTCCACTGTGAAGACTGATGCAACGTAATTATCCCAGTTCCTCAGCCATGTCCTTGTTCCCCACTACTATCTCTCCAGTGTCATTTTCCAGCAGTCCAATGTCAACTTTTGCCTCTCTTTTGCCCTTTATATATCTAAAGAAACTCTTACAGTCCTCCTTGATATTACTGGCTAGCTTACCCTCATATTTAATCTTCAGTACTGAGTGAGTGCCCCACTGTCTAGGATCTGTACTAAGGGACTGCCCACTGTCGGGGTTCAGTACTGGGGGAGTGACTCACTGTTGAGAGTCAGTACTGAGGGAGGGTAGCACTGTCAGAAGGGTCAGTACTGAGGGAACTGTTTGAGCAGTAGAACTAAGGGAGTGCCTCACTATCAGAGGGTTAGTGCTGTGGGAAAGTTGTACTCAAAGTGAGTCAGTGCTGAGGGATTGCTGCACTGTCAGAGGGTCAATGCTGTTTACATGATTTATTAGAATTTATTGTTGCTAAAACCATTGTAGTGTTCAGCACAGATTTCAAATCGTCAAAGGCATTCTGACATTCCTTTGTCCACTCGAATTTCTTGCCTTTCTTTAACAGACTTGTCAAAGAAATCTCTACAGTGCTGAAATTTGGTATGAATCTCAAATAAAATCCCCTCATGTATTGCAAAGTTGTATGTCTTGTTTTTAAGCATAGAAAATTCCAAGATATTTTTGCCTGTCCAGGTTCTTTTTGTCTTGTCTCAAATTATGTAGCCCAAATTCACTTTTAGCCAAATTTATTCCCAAATTGCCTTTTTCTAAATGAAAGAGTTCATCCAAGTATTGTTAATGTTCCACCCAGGTATGGTTGAACACAACCAATCTGTCAATGACCTTGTCGGTCAATTTTTTGAAAATTTGTTCATACTTTTTCATTTCAAATCAAATGACGTGATTTTACATTGATAAAGCCCATCTGGTGTTACAAAAGTTGATATTTCTTTGGCTGTGCGAGTCAGTGTAACTTGCCAATATCCTACAAATAAGTCAGTTTTTGTCACAAACCATATTTGTCCAATCCTCTCCATACAATTCTCCAAACATGGAATTGAATGTGAATCTGCCTGTGTTACTATGTTGACTTTGTGATAATTGATACATATCATTGCGGTCCATCCAATTTTGGCATGATCACAATGGATGGGCTGAAACTACTATGAATTTATTCAGTAATTCTATTGTCCATCATGAACCTGATCCCTTCTCTCACTTGAACTAGCTTCTCAGGTTTGAG